TTAGAAGAATGTTATGCAATGACAGGGATCCTTTGTCTATGCTAGAGAGGTCTGGAGTGTATTCCATCCCATTGGAAAGTACAACATCGGGTACTCATACCCAGTATATCGGAGCGACATCCAGAATGTTGTCTTGCCGCATCTCTGAACACAAACAATCTATTAGTACGGGTAGATGCGACACGAGTTGGCAAGATTGGTGTTGCAACACCAATACTCTCCAAGGTGGGACCAGGTGGGGATAATCAAACAGTGTGATAGCAGAAACATCTTGTATATATGGGAGGTGCTGTTTACCAGCATGCTAATTCCATGCAACACCCCACAGTGGATGTGCCTTCCTTGTGGGTCAACTTATACAACAGATTAAAACAACGTCGCTAGCTCCACATTCTCACAAAATAATCTATTGCTCATGCGCGTCTGCACTGAGCGTGCATCTTTTAAATTCTCCGTTTTAGTTCTATTTTGATTTTATTCCAATGCTGGTTTGCCGATGCTGTAATTTGAATTTGAAGGATATTAACTGTTCTTTTAACCTGAAGAAGATAAAAATAGTTTCGTTGAAAGCGCTTGTTGTTTGTAGCGATAGATGTTGGTTATTAATGCCTAGACGATAATTTTCTCAACTTGCTCAGCTATAGGTGCCATCCTGCAGCAGAAGTATCAAAGGGCATGGAAACCTCTTGTCTTTTTCTCTAATAAGTTGTTGACAGCACAGCACAATTACAGCACATATGATCGTGAGTTATTGAGCGCCTACGCAGCTGTGAAACATTTCCGGCACATGCCAGAAGGTCGAGACTTCATCCTTTTTACAGATCATAAGCCACTGACCTTCTTATTTTGTCAACACTCCAACAAATCTTCTTTGAGACAACTTCGCCATCTTGACTTCCTATCACAGTTTACAACAGACATACAACACATAGAAGGTATAGTTGCTGATTCACTATCCTATATATCTACAATAGACATGCCATCTCAGATAGATTTGAAAGAACTCGCCAACCAGCAATGAACCAACAGTGAGCTTAAGGAACTTCTGGACAAGCCAAACTCCACAGGGTTGTCCTTCAAACCACTTCCAGTCAACGACTCTACTTGCCAACTCTACTGTGACGTCTTGTTGGGGACCGTACGCCCTTATATACCATCTTCATTATATAGAGAGATAATTAACATGCTGCACAACCTGTCACATCCTGGCATCAGAGCTACGATTAAGCTCTTGCAGCAAAGATTAATTTGGCCATCCATGAAAGCCGATGCCACCACCTGGACTTGATCCTGCCTGCAGTGCCAATGGTGCAAAGTCACCTGTCACACTTCTGCTCCTCTTGCTAATCTATCCATGCCAGACAAACGTTTCTTGCACGTTCACATTGACATTATTGGACCTCTACCTCCATCTCACGGATTTGTTTACTGTCTGACCTGTGTAGATAGCTTTACATGTTGGCCAGAAGAATTCCCCACACCAGACATCTCAGCTGAAACAATAGCGAGAGCATTCTACTCCGGATGGGTCACATGCTTCGGCGTCTCAAAGCAGATCACCACAGACCAAGGTAGGCAGTTTGAGCCAGCCCTCTTTCAAGCACTAGCCAGCCTACTTGGTTCAAAACGTATCTGACCTTTCCCTACCACCCAGCCTCCAACAGACTGGTCGAGCATCTACACCGTCCACTCAAGACAGCACTAAAATGCCACACTACAGAGAGGTTGACCGAAGTGCTCCCAACCATCCTCTTGAGTTTGTGCTCTACCATCAAGGACGGAATCAATGCCGTAACAGCAGAGATGGTTTATGGAATCCACCTATGACTTCTGGGAAAGTTCTTTGCTTCAGAATCAAGCTCGGTGATCAACCCAACTTCCTTCGTCGGTCAGCTCTGCGAAACAATGAGGAATCTGCGTCCAGTAGCAATGTCTGCACACTCGAAATGTGCAGTTTTTGTCCACAAGGAACTGTCCACCTGCTGTCACATACTCATTTCTCGTGACACAATTCACAAGCCCCTACAACCAATCTACAATGGACCATGTGAGGTGATATCTCAGCAGAGAATAGTGTACAAAGTCCAAATCGACGGATGAACATCATCTATAAACATTGATCAACTGAAGCCAGCCTTCATGCCATCTCCTGAAGTCAGATCTGATCCCGACATCCCAGCTCCAAGCACATCTTCACATACTCCTGTCCAGCCAGTTTCCACAGACACATCACCCCCCACTTCAGCCGCCTCATTGACATCATGTCCAGTTCAACCCACATTTTCTCTAACTCCTCATGCCTTTGGCACTTGGAGGAGGAGTACTGTGGCGACTAATTCTGAAGCTCACCCGATCGCCACCAGAGGGAGTCTGGAAGAATATAAAAGACTGGTTCAAACACGTGCCCTTCACTTTTTGTTGACTTCTCGTCTTTGAGTGTGAACTCCTTTTAACTAGTACAAACTTTGAACTCTTTTATTGGCAAACATTGCCACATATGTAACAGTATTTTTTCTTTTTCCTTGATCTATGATGTTATATGCATGAGTGAATATATGTTTCATAGACACAGTAGTTCACTACTATCAATGGTAGGCTTTGGAACATATCATTCAGAAATAAAGCAGTCCCACTGTATACTAAAACTTTGAAGACTTGGACAATTTTCATAGCAAATCTAGAACAAAGAATCTTTGAATAACTGACTGGAAATTCTTTACAAACGCATAATATCTAGCTCCAGACTTATGAGACAAAATCAAATGAATTATTATATAAAAAATAAAGCTGATTGTCTAAAGTGTACAGTACATATTCCCATTACATATGAAGAGAATGTAAAAACCTATCCAGAAGTTTAGGTCATAGAAGGAAAAGAAGAAAGAGGGAAAAGTGAAAGTGGCTTGGAAGAGCAGATAGCAAAAACCAATTGCATTCATTATATAAGAAAAACTTGCCTTTTGAAGCTATTTTCTATAATGTAACAAAATTCATTCATAACATATTAGTGCTACTTTTCATAAAGTTTGAAATCAAAAATGCTAGTCCCCGATTCTTAGATCTGCTCCTAGCATTTGATCGTAATAGCAAGATTTTCATTTTGGTTTTTTTACTGATTTAGTTTAACAATACAGTAATACCTCGACTTATGCTACCCCAACTTGTGCGAACCTGGAGTTACGCGATTTTCAAATCGCATTGATTCATCTTTTGTTTGAGTGCCATGCAACTCTTGATTACTCACTCCCCTGCACTATTGTTCAGCTTACATGTTCGGACATGTTGCATGGAATAGATACATAGCTACAATTTATTTTGTGTTATTTATTTCTGTGTTTGTTATATCTACAAAGACTCAAGAGACTCTACTATGTCATCCAAATGAAATAGAACTGATTCTTCTGCATCAAACAAAAAAAAAAAAAACTTTATCTTTGGAATGTAAAGTTAACATTATTAACTTTGATGTAAAAATGAAACTTTGTGAATTGGCAAAGTTTGATCCACCAGAATCAACGATCAGAAGAATTATAAAAGTTAAAGAAAAAATTCTCGAAGCTGTGAAAAATGCTCAATCTTTAAATTCAAACATCATTCATAAACATCACGGTATTATTGCTGAGATGAAAACAATGTTAAAATTATAGTGTGATAATCAAATAAATGTGAAAAACTGTATAATAATATAATTTGTTATACATATGTATTATCTAAGATTTTATTAAACATTTTTTTCTAAATTATTGTTTTCTTTAGTCTCTGGCCCCAATTAAAAATTATTTGGAAATTATATGCGAAATTATACCCCGACTTACGCAAATTCGACTTACGCAGTTATTGTTCGGCCTCACCTATGGCATAAGTTTGGGGTATTACTGTAAATTAACTTTTTGATTATTTCTCACAATGAAGTGTAATATAAATTAAATATAAATAAAATAAATATAAATAAGACCCAAAATGTATCTCAGCAAATGGAAAAAGAAAATTAAAAGATGTAAAGAAACCATTTTGCCATTTATATTACTCTTTATTATGAGAAATAATCAAATAAGAAGATTGACATGGTTTCACATATGAAAATAAAAAGTTAGTTTTTTATTTAAGTATTAACTTCCTACTTTCCACTAAAAGCATTTAAAAAATAAAAAAATTCATATAAAAACTAAAACAGAAAAATTTATTCTCTAAGTTTTGAATTCTTATGTCAATAAAATGTGTGCTTTTATAAATAATCAACAAATTCAAAATTAGGTCTAAACAAGCAAACAGTTATTGATTTAAAATTAAATTTATTTTTTACTACTATCTTTTGAATTAGATTACCTGAGATTGAATTACATATATAGAGTAATGGAATATTCAATAATTCAAGATACTGAAGATATTCAGAAAAGGATAAATAAGAATTGTTATTATGTGATCTTTAACTTTCCATCAATTAATAACTATATGAGAACTAATCTTGCATTTAATGTAAAAAAAATTTTCATACAGTTTAGACTTAATCAAAAAGGATTGATGATTGGTGATAAGTACGTAAAATATGATCAATTCAACTGCCCAATGTGTAAGACAAGACTATCAAAATTACATTTATTCTACATAAGCGAGCAGAATAAAGAACAAAACAATAATTGTAAGGAGGATATACAAATGTACAGGAAGTTAAATAAAGCCAATACTTGCGAAATCTGTAGATACTATAGCAATGTTAGAAAAAGTTTTAAAATTATTATTACTAACTAATTGTCAGTAAAGTTTTTTTTGATTGTCTAAAAAAAGAAAAGTGAAGTGAAAATGAAATTGTAAAATTAATACCCCCTGTAACAAGCTATTGCCTTATATGCAAATAAAATTTTGATTGATTGATTGAATTAGATTAATCCATCTTTGGTAATAGTTCCTATCATAAATTTGAACCACTGGATTTAGATTTACAATAGAAGAAACTAATCAAAATTAACAAATAAAAACGCAAACAAACAAATTTGACTCACATCATCTCTGAGTAATTCTTGCAGCCGTTCTTCCTCATCTCGTCGTTCTTCCCGTTTTGTTTTTGATTTTGAGCCTGAAATTTTACCAGAACCAATTCGATCTCTGCTAGAATTTTCATGGTTAAATCCTGAAACAAAAAATACATTCAATTATCCATCATCAATTATCAGTACCAATATTTTGTGACATGATAAAATATGCTTGGTATGCCAGTGGACTCTGATATAAGAAAGTTTTTTTTACAAATATAAATGAAGCGTGTTTCTCATCAGACCATTTACAAATACCTTGCAATTGCAAAAAAGCAGCATTTATTTGTTGTTCTTGGTGTAGACAGAATTTTTGTTTTGAATGTTTTTACCATAAGTATCATTCAGGATCATGTACATCTGAAAATGATATGTAATTATATAATATTGCTTCAATAAATTGAAAATATGATATGTAATTATATTATAATGCTTCAATAAATTAAGTTCATTTTTTCGATTATATTTGAGTTTTGCACTTTAGTATTTTACAGGTAGTATATTATACTACCTCTACACCAAAGATCATCAAAATCCATTTCCCCAAAGCCATAGGGTCTCCTTGTAAGACAGAACAGAAGGAAGTGTTCAGAAGGAGCAGCAGATTGTTGTATTCAGAAGGGAATGCAACAATTTGTTAACACAGGAGAAAGCATGCTTAAACTCCTGCCCCCTTTGTCTAATGTCAAGTGATCCCAATGACTTGCAGATATTAACACCTGGTCATTTTCTAGTAGGTGCACCCTTGATTGCTATCCCAGAACCCAATGTGAGTGATATAGCTCTACCTAGACTAGGGGTCGGCAACCTGCGGCTCACGAGCCACATGCAGCTCTTTGGATGTGAAGCTGTGGCTCTTTAGTTCCATATGCAAATATTTATTTTATCAAAAAAAAAAAAATTTTTAAATCGTTCTGAATCGATTAACGAGGATTAGGCACCGATTCTATCTCTCAGCCACTTGTACTCGCTTTTCACCACACCCCTCCCCCGTGACACGCATCGTCACTGTCGTCAGTCCGTCGGAAGCTCTCGAATGACGCCGTCGTCGGATGTTTCTATTATCTAATTTGTTGTGAAAAACACTACTTATATATGAATAAATAGATATTTTTTCTTATGAATAAATAGATTAGTTTTTATCAAAAAACTTTATTTATGCGAGTACTATTTATTGTTGGCAAGAAAAAATTTTGTGGCTCTTTAAAAACTTTGAAATTTTGTAAATTGTAATTATGGCTCTTCCGACTCAAAAGGTTGCCGACCCCTGACCTAGACTGAAACATTGGACCCCAGTACAACAAACAGTCTCACACTTCTGGAGAAGGTGGAATGCAGAGTATTTGACAACTATCCAACAACATCGTAAGTGGCATCATTCCACACAAAATTTGGAAATTGGTGACCTCGTGTTACTAAAAAATGAACAACTTCCTCCAAATCAATAGAAAATTGGTCATGTTATACAAACCCATCCTGGGAGTGATGGTCACATAAGAGTTGTTACAGTATTCACGTCTACTGGAACGCTAATGAGACCAGTTACAAAATTGTGTCCATTACCGAGTAATAATTAATTTATTAAGATTCAAATAATTGTTGGTTCACTCCAGCTACTGAAGGTGTAATTGATACCTTGCAGGTGTCAAGCCTGGGGGTAATGTCTAAATTATTATTTATTATTATTATTATTATTCAGAAAATTTTTATTTTATTTTTATTGTGAGAAGGCATTTTTTNAACATTAAAATATATTTTCGAATGCCTTTTGATCGCTTTTTGGACATGATTATTAATGAAAAAATTAGGCAATATTTAATAAAATTTAAATGTAAAAAATCAAGAAACGAGTTGCTTAACTTTCCTGGAAAACAAATTTAAAATTTTGTGTTATGTGTTGGTCAGGTGTCATGAGATTTTGTTTAAAAACAGCCTTTATACTATTAATTATTATAAAATGGGAGAAAACTTAATTTTGAGGGAAGAGATGAGTTTATAAAAATTACAAATGCTAATAACAAGTAAAATCTTATTTAAGTCTGATTTCACTTGTGTAAACTATTTATTATTATTATTATTATTATTATTCAGAAAATTTTTATTTTACTTTAATTGTGAGAGGGCGTTTTTTCGCGCGCTTTTCGGTGAGTCGTTCTTGTCTGTTGTCGCCATCTTGTTTAGTGTACCGGATTCAAGAGGAATTCAAACCATATTGCCTGAATGATTGAAGAGAGTTTAAATCAATAAAGATTGTTTTATTGTGCAATTATTGTGAGTTCGTATATAGTCCATTCATAGCGTCAACAGTGTATGAGGACAATCACAATCATTTAAGATGTGAATCCTTCTTTGTGATATTTGAGAAAGGATAAGATGTAAATGAATAAAGTCTTGGTGGCAGAAGTTTTAGACTTCAAGTAACTATATTTAAATTTTGTTGAATGGCCGAGCGGTCAAAGTGGTAGCTATTGCTCTTGTGGACCTGAGATCAAAACCCCCGAAAATTTTCAGGTGGGTATCCATTCTTCACCATCAGGCTGTCCCGTTGTAGACTTGCTAAATAAAAATGCCCTCTTAGTACCCACAGGGCAAAAAGAGTTTTAAAAAACTATATTTAACCCACGGTTACGCGCGTTCAGTTACTCTCGCACTGTTAGGCGCGCGGGGTTCTATATAACCCCTGTTTCAAAATTCAATTTTTCAAAACGCATAGTTTTTTTCGCGATTTTTTCATTTTGGATGTTTGTGGGCATGTGTTTTTGATGTATTAGTGAAGAAAACTACTTCAAATATATCGTTTTTATTTATTCGTAACGAAAAACAGAAAGTCTCCCGTTTTTAGAAATTTTTCAAAAAAAATTGGTCGACTTCAAGAGTGTATTTTACAAACTGTAAACAAGTCTGATGCTATCTAAGCTGTCAATTGTCTTCCTGTATGTGTTTTTTAACTGTTACAACAATTAAATTCTTTGTACCAAACCCCGGGCCAAAAATATCTCAATATTTCCAAAAAAACACCATGTAAAATCACACAGCAAGTAGAGGTAAAAATGGAGATTATTGGCAGATAACATCGATAGTAAACTTCTTTTGCACTGTAATTGGTTAATTTATATGTCTGTTATTAGATCGACCTATAAAAACAATTGCTGGAAATATTCCCGCGAAATGCCACGCCCCCGAAGGCCACCACATGGAAGTATGTAAACAATCGCAATAAAATCGCGTGTTTTATACTTTTTTTCCACTTCTAATTTGCTAATAATAAGTCGCTTGACATTATTTAGACGAATAAACATGTTTTCAACACCATTTAGCAATAAATATCGCCAAAAAACGCCACCTTTCAAACTGTCAATGTTAAGTCTATGGGAAACTTTTTTGCCGTTTATTGGCTTTAAAAATCCTGTTTTTACGCCTTTTATGCTTTAATTGGTCATTTCTATCATGACTGACTCTATATCAACCAATAAGCTTTCCCTCAAAACACGAAGTCAGATCGACCCACCTCCGTTAGTCGCGCGAAAATGAATTACACCGTTAGGCGCGCGGGGTACTATAGCACCCCACTGATTTCCATTATAACTCTATGCAAAAAATTTTTTTCGTGCAAAATTGAAATTTTTTCGGTGCGATCTTTACACCATGGAAGGAAGGTACTGAGGGCATCATTTTTAAGCAAAAAAAATTTTAAAAAATACACGCGTTTTAAGACCCCGGGGGTTCTATATAACCCCGCGCGCCTAACCGTGGGTTAAATAAATAAAATAATATGCTGTAATTAGAGTAAATGTAAAGAACCTGGTTGAAAAAGATGATAAACCGAAATCATATAATTCGTTACATGTCAGATGACTTCTTCGATGTGCCACTTTGGGCACGCATGCCATAGGTTCGCCATCTCTGTCATAAGTCAATAACTATCGGTTTTAGGTGGCAACACACTCGAAGTATTCAAGTCAAAGTTGGCACACTTTGTTTTCTTACACTCTATACAATCCGCATCATTCAGCATTAGCCATTTTGAGCTTTTCTGATACCTTTAAAATTGTTCTTTCCAATGACATACATTTCTTATATTTCTGTTCAAATTTCCTTTGTAATTTCTTCGGCATTGTAAAATTTTTCTTCAACTTGCACACTTATTGGCTTATAACTGTACAAATTCTATTTTATTGGTTACTGTTGCTAAATAATATTGTAGATCTTGTCATTCTGTGCAAATCAATACCAATTTCAATGCTCTATCTCTTTGCAATCCAAAGTTATAGACTTCTCAAATGCAGTGCGGTCTCACCATTTTTAGTGTTCACATGCAACTGCAACCCCTTCACAGATGCACACCACCAGTACCCACTATTTTAAATACAAACATAAATCCTCTATTCAATAAAAATTTTAATCATTACATTATCATTTATAGTTTATGGGATATAAGCATGACAAATCTTGACATTCTTTTGGTTGCTCCAGTTTTCATAGACCCCTCTATACTGAACCAAATTTAAAGATGTATTCAGGTCAAAAACAAGTGAGAGCAACAGATGGATTTCAAGTATTTGCAGATTCCCTGACTTTCCAGGTCTATACAAACCCTGTATGTAGCATCTATAACTTATGAAAAATTTTAATGCTATATAGATACAAGTATTCTTGGATCTATGTCAAAAATAAGCAAAATTTAGTCTCATTATATATTTAAATATTCAAAATAAAAAACAAATAGAAAATGTTATATCTGTACCTGACTTGGAAGGAATATCAGCTAATCCATCCCCAAACACAGCTCCCTGTGTCTGAATTAATTCCACCTTGCCTCTACCTCTTCCTCGGCCATGTTCACCACTTCTACATCTTCTATGTCTTGTGGGCTTCACAGGACTTTTGTTTGTACTATTTATTCTATAAATATTACAATTTCATTTATTTATAGTATTTGTAATCATGATTGTTAAATAATGATGATATTTGAATTTGACATACTGTATACTAATCTATATAAATAATCCAAATTTTGAAAAGATAATCTAACTCAATTTCTCAGAGTTATATTAATTCTTTGAAGTTTGTGTATATACAGTAGAGCGTCGATTTTCTGAATCAATTGGGGACTGGGGTTGTTCATATAACTGATATTTCGGATAACCGATTTATGTACGAAAAAATAGTTTAACATATCCAATGTTGAAATTTTTCTCCGTTGCTTGTCGCTTCACGTTGAATTTTTGTTGATGTTAAGCCTAACGAAGACTATTGTATCGTAAAAAATTATTTTTTTACGATACAATAAATATATAAAACAAAATAAATATATTGAAAAATATAAAAACAATAAAAAATTATACTTCAGATGTTAATTTAGTATCAAAAACGTAAAATATTTGAGTAGCCCAAGACAGACAAAGATTGAAGTGCCACAGCACTGGCGAAAATTTAAATTTGCCAACTGGAATTCTTTCAGATGATTGACTTTCAGAAAATCGACGCTCTACTGTATATTAATATGTTATGGGCCAAGTGATTAATAGGGCATTATAAATAATGCCCAGATATTATGAATAATAACTGAAATGGTCATGCAGCTTGATAAATATTGATTAATTTATTAAATTGGCCAGACATTATGAATAATGCTACATTCCCTCCCTTTGGGAAATTTGATTTTTCAAAAAGAAACCTCACTTTTTCATTAAGAATTATTTATTTTTTGTAAATTGTTCCAAAGTAATTTTAAAAACAACATGTGATTTTTTAAAAGTAAGTACAGTAGTCATCATTGAACTTAGACCAGGCTGCAGTTAACATTCCATCCAATAGATAGGTTTTAAAAAAAGTATCTTTGATTCATAGCATGAATGTTTTATTTTATTTAAAACAAATATATAGTAATTAATCTTTATTTTTGCTAAATATCAACTTGATATCTTTCAAGTTTAACAAAATTGAGCAGTCAAAGTTGAGTCACAGGCATCAGAAAATGAACAATCTGATGAATCTGTGCTAATGAACATAGACCACTGCATGTTTAATATTTTGTTGCATCACCTTTTGCAGCCAAAACACCTTCTATATGTTTCAGCATGCTGTTGACTAGGTACTCACATTCATCTGCTGTTATGAAATTCCAAATATATGTTTTTAGTCCTTCAACTCTCCGAGGGGATGTTTTTCGCTGACATCTCCTCATAATGTTCCATACATTCTCAATTGGTGAAAGATCTGAGCTATTGGATAGCCAAGGAAGAACTTCTGTGTTCTTTTCTACAAGTTACTGTTTTATTTTTCTGCTTGTATGACATGTGGTCCCATCCTGCTGGAAAATGGAGGTTCTATTTGGATATGGCTTTGCTATGGAAGAAAGTAAACATTGTTGTAGAATGTTAATTTGTTGCTCTGAAGCAAGTGTTCCATCAACAAATGCCAACTGACCCAGACCACTGGTGCTCACACATCCCAAACCATGATGCTGGCAGGAAACTTCACTGAGCGGTTTAACAATGTTGGATCATTAGTTTCATTGGCAGATCAAATGGCATGTTTGCTTTTGTTTGTTGCTGATAATTCAAATTTTGATTCATCAGATCACAGAATTTAATACCAATTTTGTTGAGACCAGGAAAGATGTTCTTTGGCCCAATGTACCCATTTCTTCTTTTGATGTGCTGTTAGCAAAGGTTTTTTCATGTGCTGAATAGAATCAGAAATGCATTTCTTGCAGTCTCCTGTGTGTTGTTGAAACAGATACATTCTTTCCAATTGTATCATTCCATATTGTAGTTACATCCAATGATATGGCATGGTGGTTGTTTTTTACAATTTTTTTCAAATTCTTATCATCAACTTTTGAAGTTTTTCACTGATGTCCAGCAGTTTTGTTAGATATAACATGGGCCATGGTTAGTGTAATGAATAATAATCTGGTGTACTGTAGTCTTGCTTAGCATTAGCTCTTTACTAATAGCTCTCTCAGAGATGCCATGACTGTGTTTAGCAAGGATAGCATTCCTTAAATCTTCTCAAATAGCTTTTCCTCTTGCCATTGTAGACAAAATGCAAATGTTCATAAATAAAACTAAAAATGAACCTTATATTATTCACAGGATCACTGCAGGCTAAAGTGCAGGCTGAAGTGAGGCTAAAATAATCAGTTGTTTCAGAAATACTGCAATCGTAACATTATTTAAATGCAAATTATTGGCTGGTCTATGTCCTTTGACGGAGATGACTCAGCAGTCTATGTTTTCTGATGCCTGTGACTGAACTTTGACTGGCTCAATTTTGTTAAACTTGCAAGATATCAAGTTGATATTTAGCAAAAATAGAGATTAATTACTGTATATTTGTTTTAAATAATGTAAAACATTCATGCAATGAATCAAAGAAACTTTTTTTTTAAACTTATCTGTTGGATGGAATGTTAACTGCAGCCTTGTCTAAGTTCAGTGGTGACTACTGTATTAACTGTATTAATTAAACTAATGTTAATAAAAAGTCTTATTAACAAATTTATACTTCAATCAAAAATCAACTTAAAGGAAACTTCTGGAATGTCATTTTTGGTATAAAGTATATAAATTAAATATTTCTTTAGTTTATTTATTCAAGCAGTTAAGACTTTGATGACATTTGCTGATATTAACTCATTTAATTAATTGTTGAAGAGGTTATTCAAATCACTTAATGATTGCTGCATGATCATAGTGTTTTTTTCTTTGAAAAAATAATTTTAAGAGAAAAAAATAAAATTAAAATGTTGCACAAGTTTACCTATTGGCCACATGAATTTAAAATTTAATAAATAAAATGAATAATAAATACATGCACATATATAGTGCATGTATTTATTATTAAAATTTAATAATAAATTTTAGCACTATATATGTGCAACTCAGACACAAGTGCTGATTGGCTAGCACATGTTTCTAAACTTGACAGTTCTTTAATGAATAATTTAATAGCATCTGAGAATGGTTGAAATAAACTTCAAAATGATCATTCTTCAAAGTATTATCATCACTTTGCTCAACCAGGTGATAGCAGTATTCATAGTGACCAGTCAATCTGATAAATTATGATAAAAACCTGAAATTTATCAGTGCCCAATTTTGTTTGTCATTATTCATAATGTTATGAACTAAACGGTTAATACAGGCATTATTCATAATGCCTGTATTAACCGTTTAGTTCATAACATTAACCGTATTAACTGTATTAACCGTTTAGTTATGAACTAAACGGTTAATACAGGCATTATTCATAATGCCTGTATTAACCGTTTAGTTCATAACATATACATTAAAAAGTATGATACAACATTTTGCTACTTTTAAATGTATATTCTTGATTCTTGCATCATCATCATCATATTATTGCAATTCATCCAACTGCTCTTAAAATTTTACAATAAGTTTCAAAGATTTAATACATTTAATATTAATTATTACCAAGTATCCAATAATTATCAGATACAGACATAATTGACCATATTTTCAATATCCAATAATTATCCAAAACTAGCAGTACATACTGAAATCCAGTACCAAAAAGAATAGGATATTGATAAAATACCCTAAAATAAAAATTTTTCTCTCAAAAATATTTAAAAAAATAGCGTATTACTTATTTTGGCACAAATTCTTACTATTCTTAATGAAACATACTAAACTAGAAAAGCATTTTACACAATATGCACAATTATATATACACAATGATCATTTAGAGCAATGGTGACAAAAATTTTCTGACTGACAGGCCAAATTGCATATAAGTTGTACATAGGCAGTCCAGAAATATTTTGTATATTCAATATAGTCTATACATCATCATCATATATTTTATTTGGCACAAAATGTGCCACCTGGCTCCGTATAGCACTATCAGCATATATCTAGACAAAATGTAGACCTATTTCTATCATTTATCAGTGATGTATCAAATATGTTTGCAGGCCAGATTAATGTGTACACAAGCTGGATTTGGCCACGACATATTTTGGATACCATTGATTTAAAAGAATGTATTCTATTTTTTTTTTTTTTATAACTATAATGAAATCAATTGAAGTGAAAGAAAACATAAAAGCAAATTTATTCTTAATTTTATTTAATAATTACATTTCAAATTTAGCATATAACAATAATCAAGTTCATATCTTTATAATCAAATATCTAAAGACTAGATTTACTCTTAATAACAAAAAAGTTACTAAGAAGGATGCATTGAATAGAGTAACACTTTATTAGTGCATATATGGTAAAAAATAATTACAATATCATAGCAAAACAAACAATTTCCTGTGAAAAAAATAGTACAATTTAAAGAAATCTTTAGTATTTTGCACAATCATTTCTTTCCTGAGTTGGATATAAAGACATACAAGCACTGTATCTTATCCTGTAAAACAGTGGTTCCCAACCTTTTTTCATTAGCGTACCCCGTGACATGTCATATCTCTAGATTGTACCCCTCATTTAAGAAATTTAGTGAGTGCTCGTATTGTTAATTTTACATATTGTAACTTTAAATTAAAGAAAAAAAAGTAAATGAAAAAATGTATAATAAAGTTGTGATTGTTGCAAGGAACATATTTTACCTAATAATTTTTTAATACTATTAGTTTGTGATACATAATATATTATTTTTTCTGCCATAATAACTAATTTTTACCCCTAGGGGTACACGTACCACAGGTTGGGAATCGCTGCTGTAAAAGATTGGCTTACAGACATTGTAACTAACACTCAGATCCTTCACACTTGTAGATGATGGAAACTGACATCTCATCTGTCCCATAAATTCTTTTTGATCATCTGGCTTTCTACAAATAAATGAAGCCAACAAGCTGTTCATCTATTATAACAATGGCTTTGGTATCATAATTGTTCTACATGTGCTATGAATAAATTTAAAATATAGTAAATTCTTTCTATACAAGACACTTGCAAGATTAAAAGATTGTCCACTATAGAGAGATGTCTGTCCAAGATAGGTTTTGTGAAAATTACTTTAAATGAAACATCCCTAAAATATAGCCAGCATTATTTCTATTTATGAGTATATAATACATATACTATGCAAAAAATAGTAATGCAACACATTATAGCAAAAGATAAATTATCATAATAGGGTCAATATTGTAAATAAACAGCTCATACAACTGGATGAAGTGCAAATAAACATATTAGCTTTGTACCATTTGTATCTTTTCTAAAGTAAAACTGCTTGAGTTTATCCACATAGTCTAGGGCCTCTTTATGTGACTGGATTGGTGGCTCTGTAGCAGGTGTCATTTCAGTTTTATTGCTGAAATGGTACTTGCTAAATTGATCACTAAAAAGGATGTTCAACAACAAATTCATAGTAGTGCCATTAGCTTACATGGCAGTCTGTCATTTTGCTAATGATGTATTCAACCAATAAACATATCTGTCTTTATCACTAATTGGTTACTTACTTGTTAGAAAAATTTCAATCCATTACATTGATACAATAATAGAAAAAAGAAAGGTAAAAGAGACACAAAACAACAGATATGGCAATTTTGAAACTGAATAAATGTCCATAAAATTGTTTTTGACAAATCACATTAATATAATATTTGTTTTTTCTAATTATTGTCTTAGTTAAGACAATATAAAGACAATTAGAAATTCTTTGATGTCAAATTTACAAAAACAAATTTAATAAAATACTTCAAATATTTCTGCCATTTACAAAATGTCTGTCAGAAAAAGAATGTTACAACATACAAAAAATTATCTAGATATTCTAAATAACTTTTTATAATTCACTTCCAGCAAAATTTAACACAACAACCAATTAGCAAACATCTCTTAACCAAGACATTACTAAAAATAAAGTGAGAAATTTTAATCAATGTAAAATTTCTAACATACTAAATTATGTATGGTTAACCAATAATCTGGTGGAAACATGGGTGGTTAATGGGATTGCTTTCTTATTAGTAAAATTTCCCAAATAAAAATTAGTTTTGGGTTGGAGACATTCTTTAACAATTAAACATCCTTCTAATATGTTTTAGAAAATGGATATTGGAAGATGATGCATTGTTAAAGTAACATCCTTGTTGAAGTGGAGCTAGGAGAAACACATTTCCAACACAATATGCTCTTTAATGATAAGTAATTATTTTTTAGTATATTAGTAGTGATTTTATTGTTTCAATAACCTAGTTTAGTAAAATAAAGGAAAACAAGGTTAGACATCTATTTTAATCTGTGAAACATTTCTTTAGAGTACCACATTGTTCTTTACAACTTATGATAATGTGTGATATGTTGTTCAGGCACTTCACATTTCTAATTACAAATATTTTAAGACAACAAATTTCATTTTGAATAATGTTTAAGTTTTGAAGCCATGCAAAACAGACTTTCATCAATTTAAATTCATGTGTTGAATTAGAATAGTTTTCCATTTCACATCACATAGTCTCCAAGAAATGATTTTAGTTTGAAGATGGCTTATCAAGAGACTGTAAATATTCACCTAACAAACTGTCAGAAAGAAGATGCAAATTTATTGATTTATTCATCCAGTTGTTATAATTGACTCAAGGATAAATAAAACATTCTACACATAGGTATGTAAGTCATTAGATTTATTTACAAAAGTAGTTTTATGCACAGATTTATTTCCAATTCCCTAATATGCTGATACTCAGTTCTCACACTAACAATAATAATTAAATAAATAAATTTCTTTTATATGGAACTTTTTAACTTTTCGAACCGAAAAATTGCGACTAAATCATCGGTGTTCGTCGTTGTCGTCATTATTCATCTTTTCATATAAACATTGAAGTATTATCACAGAAATCTTAAATGTTAAATGAATACTGTATTTTTAAAATTGGATATTTGAAAACAAAATATTCTGTCTCTCTTGTCTTCAACATCCCTACCACCACTTGCTTTTTGCTTTAATTAAAAAATATAGAGATATTTATACAGTTCTGATTATAACATATTCTTTATTTCAACATTTATTATTATTATTATTATTTGATTAAAATGTAGATAAATTTTAAAAAATTTAACCAAAATAGCTTTAACTGATTAAGAAAGTATTAGTTAAAACAAAAAATAATAATAGTGAGATGTTTTTAGGTTCATTTACCCAGGGCTTAGATAACAATATTTACATGTTTATTCTGTTGTAAGCCCTAAAGCTAGGTGAATGAACTTGAGCAAAAATAATAACAACTTTTTCAATTTATTAAAATATACATTAACTAAAACAAAAACAACTACAATAATAATAACAGTCAAATTTTTCTAAATTCATTTACTTACCTTCAGAAATAATAACAGAAGAAAAATTCAAATATTGTAATTTGAGTCCTGAAGATGGATGAATAAATTTGAAATATTTGACATTTTATTTTTGTTTTAAATACAAGTAATACATATTTTTTTCAGTTCAAACACTTTTTAATAGAACATCTTTAAGTTTGATATTTCAGAATATTTTAAAGCAAAATTTTATATTTAAACTAAGCATGTTAATTACCATTTATAACAAAAGAAAAAATTCTATTAATAAATTTTAATGTTGTCTAAAAATTCAATATACAGATATACTGTATATTAGAAAACAAAGATAAAATTCTATCTTGATCAAATGAACACAGACATTAAGTAAAAGATTATAAAAATTCTGCACAATACAAACAACTTACTCATTATCTTTACTTCTTTCTCTTCTCTGTGGAATATTTGGTGCAAATACTCTCTTAACAGCACCACCAAGTGTTAAATCACGAGGGCCACGGAGTGATGGTAATCTGAAAATAAGAAAATACACATAACTAGTTAATTTCATATTCTTAATTCTAATCATCATATTTATCTCATTCATTTTTAATATCTTTCATTATGATATTGCATGTGAATTTTCAAACCTTTATACATAAATACAAATAAAAATTTGAAATGTTGCACATTTAAAATTCTCTATCTATTTAATACTACAAAACAGAAATAGAAAATTAGAATATCTCATTTATTTTATTATTATGTGAGGTCCCGACAGGGATTGACCTACCATGATGAATTTCGTGAGAATTTAGTTGATTTAGAGAAACATTTAATTGTTTTAGAAAGGTTAGAAAAAATATTTGTAGCTTTTGTTTACATTAAAACTGCAAAGTAGAATCATAAATTGTAGAAGAAATGTCATCTTATGATCAGTGGGAGATTGAATTCAGCTTTGATTTTGACCTCTCCCGCACTCTAGGTAGAAGTCCCATTACACTTAGTAATGTGGGACCAGCCACTTGGAGAACATGGACGAGGAGACCAATCAATCAGAATGAATGAAAGAAAGGACAGAGATTGATATAATCTCCGACAATCATGGTTACTCACTTAGTTAATGTTTCAACTAACCAAGATGCCATGAGTCAAAGTCCAAAATGCAATATCCTGCCATTTGTGTGTTGTGAACAGCTCTGCATCACCAAAACAACTGTCATATCTCATACAGATAACAACCAAGTCCCTGTAAACCGCCAACTCGAATCTTCCTCATCATCAGACAGACACCCATCATTTCTGCTCCGGGCCATCATCTGCCATTCATCTTCAACTGTTAAAGGACTCCTCTTATCTACGATCGACCATCACATCTGAACACAATCTCAGATATGAACATTTGTATAGTTATCTTATGCTCCAATAAACAGTTTTATGTTAGATGCTTGTCATCACTGTCTCCTCCACCACCACCCACCTGTGAACAGACCCTAGACCATCACTGACATGAAATTAACTGATCTCCCCCAAAAGTCAGCATGCTTACACTGGTGTCTGAGAAGTGGGATTTTAAGTTCCTGATCTCCACCACTAACATCAGCTTACTTACAGTTATGCCATATCAATCATAAGTTTAAAAAATTGCACATCATCTCTCAGATTCTAACAAAAAAGAAAGAAAAGAAAGAAAAAAAAAACACACAATTGCAAAATGAAATCAGGAAGATTCTTATACTTTTTGAGTCAGAAAAATATTTTATCCAGTTTCAGAAGTCTGTATAAATTATACATTTCTAAAAGAATTGTCTAAATTTAAAAAAACTATACACAAACTCTTAAAACTACAAGCAATTATTTAATGTAATATTCTCAATTCTGGGCTGCAATTTTTAATTATATTTTTAATTTATTTAATTTAAAATATATGCTCTCTAACTCAAATTAGTAGTAGCTTGCTCCAGTAAATCATACTTTTCCTGTTAGCAATAGAATCATGCCAGTCATTTATCTAATTCCTTTCAGGGGAAAGTTTTGAATTGAAATAACGTGACTTCTGGTTTGCATCAGAAGTTTGTGTATGGTTAATTAGGCCTCCTGTTACTAAGGTTTCCATATCTCGCCTCAGCTGTCATCTTTCTAATTCCATTCTTGAGATTAAGGACAGACAAATGACAGTGGAAATTTATAGGTTTACACTTTTTTCAAATTGCAGCCCATAAAAGCTTAATTTGATTGGTTTCAAATAATCTCCAATAATCAAAATGTCCCCCCAAGACATTTAAACAAATTTAATTGCCTATCAGATAATTTTCAGCTTCTACAATGTTGAAACATCAGCTATATTAGATAAGAATAGCAATGTCAATGATACAAATGTAAAATAGGAATAGGAACAGAAAAATTTTTGCTTTTATTAATTGGGCATCTTCAGTTTAAAATGAATAAGTTAAGAATAAGCTTTAGAGCAGTGTTTCCCAAACTTTTTGGTATATCATCTCTTTTAGTGCATATATTTATTATATATTTTTTAATTACAAAATGAATTTTTGTCTCTCTTGTCTTCAACATCCCTACCACCCCTTGCTTCTAGTGCTCCTTCAGTCTTCTACCACCTTCAAGGGGGGAGTAACTCCTACGTTGGGAATCACTTCTTTTATATTTTACATTTAAAAGAACAATAGAATATATTTTATCGTGATTTTAAATCTATGATTGTAAATCTTTTTTATTACAAATATGTGTAGATTTCTCTAGAAAGTGGTCAAAATTATTAGCAGCCTTTAAAATTAATAAATAACAAAAGTAGATACTTGGTCATAGTACATTATACCAGATCTTGTTCACATTTAACATAGTTGTGTTATACACATTCTTTGATTTTATTAAGACAATTTCAGCTAAGGAAATAGATTTCATTTTTGCCAAAATAAAATCCATTTCCTTAGTTTATTTAGTTATTTATTTAGTCTCAACACTGGTCAAAAACTTCTTCTAATATTAATTTTATGTCTTTTATATCTCATTTGATATCTTTCAGGTGCAGAAAGTCTCAGTGATAATTCCACAGTCGTAGCACATACATATTGTTATGTTATACAACTTGACTTTATGAAAGTATAAAATAAACCCAAAATTTCCAATTATCTGCCAAACGTCACTATTATTTATACATAATCTCATTATGTAGGCTGTGATGTAACCATTAAATGTATATTAAAACATCTCAATTTTATCTGTAAATAAAGTATTCCATTGGAACCAAGAAGAATTTGAGCAGCAACCTCTAAGATCTTAGTTTTATATGACATATAGCTCTTTTGATTTTGCATAAATATTTACATTTTTAGTCAAAATAATCACATTTTATACATTCTATCTTAGTCATTTTTATAATATTCAATTCCTGATTTAAGAAATCCCTAGAGAAATAGAAGAGATTAGTGCTACAGATAATGCAGTAAAATTGTGCTAGCCTCATTTAATATTTATTTGTATTTGCTTAGCACAGCATTTTAAATGTAAATATCTAAACTCTATCTTCTATAAAAGAAAATAAAAGTAAAAAATCTAAATTTATCTTTTCAAAAATACTATTCATAGAACACAGTATTACTGGTTATAGTTTGTATATTATTCAATAATTGTCTAAGCTGAAACTGCTGCAAGATAAGAAAACACTAAACACACCTGTAATCCTATACAGTGGGTGATCGGTTAACGAACACTTTCATGAAAGATTTTTAGGATTAGACAACGAACACTTGTTTGGATAACGAACACTTCACTGAACAAACACAAGAAGTGATATAAAATAACAAATACTGACTGGTCTTCCTTTGTCTTCAGGCAACAATTCAAAACTTTTCGGAGTGCAGGAGACATCGACATTGACGTTCAACCCAATATATACTGATCGGATAGTATTCCCCTGAACTTTGAAACTCTCCCTTGTAATTCCAGCCTTTTATATTTCTGACAGAAACAACTTTTTACGTTTTCTTCTGAAAAAGCGGATTTATGCCAATATCTGCAATTAATGATTTTTTGAAGAAGTGGGAGGATGTCAGAACAATGGTCCTAAAATGGCATCCAAACCAGGTCGAGGTTAATAGGCCTAGGGATCTGTACAATTACAATGATATTAATTACTTCTGAAAAATCATGAAGAAGACAGAAAGACAATTGACATTGGACAGATTCGTTAACCCCCACAAACGGAAAAAAACATGACTGTGTATATATATATATATATAAATGCAAGACCGTGTATATATGTAGTTTTATTATTACATATGAATAAACGTAGTAAGAAAATATATACAGTGGAACCTCGGTATACGTCTGCTCTAGAATACGTCCAATTCGGAATACGTCCTGTTTGGACGAAACAAATTTTGCTCGGTATACGACTTTTGTTCGGTATACAACTTAATTCAATTATATGCGCCATCTATGAACAAATAGCACTATCCGTGTACTACACTAGACTAGACATTCGCGGTGCTAAGGTTTATAACTTTGTTAAATTTCTTCTGATTTTAATTTGTAAGTAACATTTTATTATTTTTATTAATCATGAATTGCAAAAGGGCAACAGAAAAATAAAAAAATGACTAGAATCACAACGGAACTGAAAAAAGAGATTGTTGAGAAATATGAAGGT